ACCCTCAGAGTAAAGTAATACTTCCTGATATTATTTTTAAACCTTTGTCCCTCTAATGTAAGACTATGTCCTCTTGTTGTGGTAGGTTTTCTTCTTTTAAATATAGTCTCCTTCTTTACTTCGTTGATTCCCTTTATGTATATAAAAGTTTCTATCATATCCGTCCTGTCTCGTCTAGTATCAATATCCTTCTGGAGATACAGTCTCCAGTACTGCGTACAATACTCCAAGTGAGGTCTCACCAGTGTTCTGTACAATGGTATGAGCACTTCCCTCTTTCTACTGCTAATACCTCTCCTTATACAACCAAGCATTCTGTAAGCATTTCCTGCTGCTCTATTACATTGTCTGCCTACCTTTAAGGTATCCGTAATAATCACCCCTAAATCCCTTCCCTCAGATGTTGAGGTTAGGACTCGATCAAATATTCTGTACTCTGCCCTTGGGTTTTTACGTCCAAGTTGCCACTTATCAACATTAAATGTCAGCTGCCACAACTCTGACCAATTTTCACGTTTACCTAAAAGTTTACCTAAATCATTTGCCAATTTGGCTTATCCCTCCTGGAACATCAACCCTGTCACATATCTTAGTATCATCAGCAAAAATGCACACCTTACCTTCAAGTCCTTCTACAAAATCACTAATAAAATATTAAAGAGAATGGGTCCAAGTGCAGATCCATGAGGTACCCCAGTGGTGACAAGACCATGCTTCCAATATAATCCATTGACTACAACCCTCTGTTGTCTGTCACTCAGCTACTGCCTTACCCATTCAACAATATTGGAATCCAAACGTAAAGATTGCAGTTTATTGATAAGCCTTCTATGTGTCAAAAGCCTTACTGAAATCTAGGTAAGCAATGTCTATTGCACCACCCTGATCTATTATTTTAGTTACCCAATCAAAAAAAATCAATAAGATTAGTTTGGCATGATCTCCCTGAAGTAAACCCATGTTGTCTCTGATCTTGAAATCCATGTGATTTTGGATGTTCAACAATCCTATCCTTTTAAATGGTTTCTATTATTTTCCCCAATACTGAAGTAAGGCTTACTGGCTTATAGTTGCCCGACTCCTCCCTACTACCTTTCTTGTGAATGGGCACAACATTCGCTAACTTCCAATCCAGTCTTCTGGGACTACTCCTGTTAATGATTGGTTAAATATGGTTTTGCTAGTACACCACTAAGCTCTTTTAATAACTTTGAGTGCATACCATCATGCCAGATTGTCATATTTGACTTTACCTTTTCAGTTGAAATAGAACCTCATCCTCTGTAAACTCACATGTAACAAATTACTAATTTGTCCTTTTTCCTAACTGAGGCCCCTTTCCTTTATTTTCATCTGTAAATACTGAACAAACATATTCGTTGAGGCAGTCAGCTAGACCTTTATCCTCTTCTACATACCTTCCTTCTTTTTTTTTTTTTTTTAAATTCTTTATTTTATTTGTGCAGAGATTATATATGTGGATTGGCACTGCCACAACAGCTGGTGCAATCAGTTTTATATTCACACTTAATCACATGGCATTAAAGAAAAGCCTGTCACTTTTTTTTTTTTTTTTTTTTTAAAGTAGATAGGGTTATATCTGAAGCTTCATAAAAACAAAGTAAAACATTAGCTTGGCTCACAGGTAGGCTTCATTTAGCAGACACAGTGAGAATAACGGTCAAACTAAGACATCGCTTTATGGAACTGGGCTGAGCACACTTATCCTAGTGTCCGACTCACATGGTTATGCAATTAATATAATAGGTCTTGTCCAAGCTATTAGTATTATACAAGTTACGCTAGATGAATGAAAAAATAAATAAAAAGAACTGGCTTGATCATGAGTAAACAAAAATTATACTGAACAAAGGAGTCCACATATGCAGTTTCGTGCCCTTTCATCCAATTCCTGATTTACAAGGAACATAGTAACATACAAACTCGGGACACCCCCATAGCAGTCCTAGAGCATCTTTTCAAGCATAGAAGTAGGAGCATTATCAAAAATCGCTATATTTTTAAGTATAATAACATTAGCATAATATCAGTAGTAGGTTCAATCGAGAGGTTGTGAGTGTCTGGCTAGAGTGTCTGGTAGATAAAAAAAACACAAGATATGCCAGTAGTTATCAGGGCGTCAGCGGTTCGGTATTTCAGTATGAGTGTTTGTGGTTATGTATGCTGACTGGGATAAGGTTGATGGGTGTGTGGGATCTTGCATTGGTGTTTAGTTGCTTGTCGTGGTGTAATAGTGGTTGTGGTACTGGTGTTCCCCACTGATCCCCTTGGTGGCTTGTGTAGTCATCTAGTGTTTGAGGTCTTGTGGGTGTAGGTGCGCAAAGTGATCTTAAAACTCTGCCATCGAGCCGCAGATGCATGTGGTGCTGTGAATGCTCAGGTGCTGTTGCCCTGTTTGGCTGTGTGCTTCCCAGTTTTCTCAGTCGGTCGCGATGGGCTGTGCCTCTCCAGGGCCTTTGTTGGGTTATTGCTTGTAGGCTGTGTGGCTTTTGTTGGTTGCTTTCAGATATCCCCGTGATTTAGATGATTGTTCCCGGGCTGTGTCTGCTCTTAGCGGGCCTCCATGTTGCAACTTTCAGGGCGGCCCTTTCCAGTTGCCTCCCGTGTCAGGCCCTGTATAGTGCTGCTGGGCGGTGTCACCGGTTCCCGGGGTCTTATAGGAGGGGAACGAGGGCGCCAGGTCAGGTTAACAGTTGTTTCTGGCGGCAGGAGAGCGGCCTTCTCTCCCGCGTTTGCCACACTAGTAGGCCTTTCCAGGGTGTCGGGTGCGTGTCTCTTCGTGTGCTTGACGGGTATCTGCGTGTGCTTTCTGGTATCCCCTTGCACTGGGTTACCTTTGTTTGCCGTTTTGTCATCGTTTTCTCTGCTTATTATCGCCTTATCTTTTCCCTTTAGCCTGAGCTGCTGAGGCAAGTGTCCTCTCAGCTCTGCGGTCAGGCCGTGCCCCCCCCCTTCTTTTGTTTTTAATCTAGCTAATCCTTGTTTTACTTTCCTTTTCTCATTTATGTATCTAAATCTTTTGTCCTCTTTTTTTTACTGACTGTGCTATTTTCTCTTCTGTGTGTGGTTTGGAAGCTCTTATAACTTGCTTTCTGCCACATCTGCAGAGTACCAGGGCCACCATCAGGGAGTGACAACCATGATGGTTGTCACGGGCCCGGCCGCCCGGGCCCCACGTGTTGCGGCTAAACTGCCGCACGCTGTTGGGGCCCATCGGGTGGCTCACGCACCTAGGGCCACCCGATGGGCCCTGTGTCTTCAGGGGCCCGGTCAGCGCTGCGGCCGCGCAATTGCGAGAAAACTTGCTGGGGACATTTGGACTCATCCCTCTCCTATTTGGTGAACCCTGTCAGGCTGGCATTGCCTTAACTTCCACATCAGGGCTAGCAGTAAGGACTTTATACCTTTTATCTATTTCATTAATATGTGTCATTAGAGGAAATCTCATCCTCACTGAAATCTACCAAAAAGTGTAATAATCCTAGCCCTGACAGCCAACTTGTGGCATACTGATAGTCCTTGAAAGAGGTTCAATTTCCTGCATTTTAAATGCCTTAAATTCCATCAGAGTTGGCACTACCTTCCACCCACATTAACTCATGGCCAGCATTACGGTTCTTCGTAAAGAGATCATGGAACCCTTGGACTGTTCAGGTTACTAGCCAATTTCCCTTGTTAATTCTGACATGAAATTATTTTATAATGCTCTGGCTGGAAGATTGTTCCCTCTTTGATTGCTCAAGAGCAAGTTGGTTTCGTTCCAGTAAGAGAGGCACAAGGCACTACAATATTGGTCTTACAATTAATCTTTGATGTCAAATGAGTGTCTGGTCCTCCTCTCAACGCATGCCAAAAAGTATTTTGACACATTCTGCATACTGTGGGTGCAAGAAAGGATCCCACCGTGGATCCAAGCATTGTATACATCTCATTCTGCAAGGATGAAGGTCAGCGTGGGCCCTTTAGATTCTTTTGACATTCAGAATGGCACCAGTCAGGGATTCCCTGTTGTTTTTCATCCTTTCATTTGAACCATTCCTCAATTCTGAGATTGAGTCCCTCAAGTCATGGATACGGTGGTTCCTCCTCCCAAGCCCCCACATCAGTGTGGGCCGGTGACTTATTTTAAATGATCACACCTCCTTAAAAGTTCAATCCTAGCAAGTGTTAGAGGAATTTATCAGATAAGGTCTATTGATAGGCACAACAAACCTCCTGGATTGCAATATAATGTGCTTACTCTCACAAAAGTAGATGGTGGCCTTGCACTTACAGATATCTGTAGGTATTCTGCTGCTCACAGCACCCTAGATTTCATGATTGCTCCTACCCATTACTTATACATTGACATTGAAGAAAAGCTTGACATCTTTACTTTTTGGCATTAATCTCTCCTTGCGGTTTTGGAGCAGTGCTATAAATAAACTCTCCACTCACCCATTTCCTATGTTGGTACTTTGACGATCTAGAGCTTACAGTGGGTGTTCTTCCAACAATGACCCGAAAATTGATGGATTCTAAAACACTATATATTTTAAATGTGGTGTGGAGTAATCTCATTTTTAATCAGGATCTTCTGCTGCCTAGGGAACCTCTGTCATGCCCAACATTTCTTACAAACTAGACTGTGTAAGCATGATCAGACTCATTAACTCCATTCAAACACGTGGCGAATATTGATTCAGTAATTGCGCATTGCATTACAAATCTCTATGAACTTCTCATAGCTGTGACTTTGGATTGGGTGCTATCATTTACATCCATGGGCAGAATATGTCATGATCCAGAGTGGAAGAAGATTCTGTATTTTGCTTCACTGCTACATAGCATCTAAACATCGGGAACTGCTATATAATTGGCTTATATTTTGATACTGGGTGTCAACAAAAATAGCACTGTGTTACCCTGGGGTTGACCCCACATGTTTGAGGTGTTGAGAGCCTCTGTACCTCCATATCTAGTGGAATAGCCCCTTAATTAACAGGTTTTGGAAAATGATTCACAAGGTATAATAACATCTTATTATAACTTGTGACTCATTTTCCAAAACCTGTTAATTAAGGGGCTATTCCACTAGATAATGGATGCTTGGGTTGTTGATCTAGCACCTAAAGTTCATCTCCCATTTTAGACTGGCTGCTCCACAAACAGCTTTTGGCACTCTGTTGCCTGTCGATGATTATTATGGTACTCTCCCTAAACTTAATACATTGGAAATCTACTCACAAGCCTTATTTTGGTGAGTGAGTGCCCTGCATGTAGGATTTGCAGTCTGTCAAGGAGCTTATTGGATCCTCTAAGAAAAGTGTGTTTGGAAAAACGGCCACATTTCTCTACTGCTGGATGGAGGTGGTTCCACACTACACTATACTTTGGTATATACTTTGGTAACACCATTCATTTTTTTTTCATGGAGCGCTATACAGATGGCAGGTGAATCTGCATTGCATTTGCTTATGTATATTTGTACATTACAGATTTTCTACATATTTGCATTAAATTTTGAAGTAAAATAAATAAACTTAATGCATCTTAAAAAAAAATCTGAATTCTGTAAAGCTATTTTAGTGTCTTTACTGCCCTATGACACATGATTGCAAGTTATAATGCTACACTGATTCTTACTTGAAAGTGAAAGAAATCTTAATGTATCAAACTGTAAAAGCTCATAAAAAAGAAGAACACAAGGATAAATGTGGAATGGGGAATATATTTCCCCCTGGGGTCTGAGTCCTGTGGTGGATTACTATCTGAAGAAAGTGGACACAATTTTATGGAGACATTTTAGACTTGCATGTGAACTGCAGTGTTTCCAAAAGCTTTTATTTATTTATGTGCATGGAAATTTAGTTAATTCTCTTTAAGAACTAAGAAGAGCAGGCATATCAAACATGTTGCATTCCTTCTTAGCTCTGATTCTTCTTTGGAACGGCAGGCACTCACAGTTTTGTGCATAAATCTTGAGTAAATGAGTTTGACATGTTAGATACATAGTGTCCATTTCATTGCTCATTCACTTAATCCCAGCCTGCTATATTGGCCATGGGTGTGGGCAACTCTCCAGTCAGCGCTCATGATCTGTGACATCAGGGATTCTGTCACTTCCCAGAAGAACGTCTGTCATTTGTTTTCTCACATGGAGTACAGTGCGTCACATTGATCTTTGGCTTTCGTTATGTTTTCTTTGGTAAATATAGACATTGGCAATTCTTTTCATCTGCCTGCAACTGGGAATGGCATTTGATCACCTTACAATAGTTAATGCTGAAATAGTCAAGACATTCAGTATCACATATTGCAAGCACATGATTAGATAAGGAGTTGGATAAGTTACTAGAACAAAATCTGACTAAAAATTATCATCATTTAGACATTTGAATTGTTGGAAAGTGAACCATGTTTGACATGTGTCTGCATTTGTGGGCATAACTCTAGTTTGTTTTAGACTAGGACAATGGCGGAACTAAAGTTGAGAGAACCTGGTGCAATAATTTTTTACCCACCTTTCCCCCTTTCACAAGGATTGTAAAAATGTAGATCCACAACTGTTGTACAATTCCAACAATGCTTTGCCAAATAGGGATCTATTATATGCCCATCCTTGCACGGTTGTACTTAGCACAGAGCAGTGTTTGTGTGTTTGAATGTAAGTGTGTTTTTGTATGGATTATGTGTGTGAATTTAGGGGTGTATTGTGTGTTTTTTTGTACTGCTGTCATTTGAAAGCAGTGGTTTACCTTTGTGTAGTGTTTGCCTTTGAATGCAGGGGTGTATTTATGCACTGCCACACTCACTTATACACATGCACACACAGACACATGCAGATACATACTAGCACACATCCAGATCTAGATACACATGCGTATACACCGATACAAGCACTGACACACATACAGATACATACACAAGGACAGACGTGCAGATACACTTACACAGACATTGACACACATGCAGATGCACAGATACACTGACACACAGATACAAAGACACTCACACACTAACACACATAGATACACAGACATGTGATGCACACAATGACACACATGCAGATACAAACACTAACACATACAGATACACACATACACAGGTACAGACATGCAGATGCACGGATACACACACTGACACACATGCAGATACAAGAACACCCCCACAAACATTGAATATACACAGACACAGAGATACAGACAGTAATACACATTCAGATACAGAGGGGCACATGCAGACACACCGATAGATACACAGACATACAGATACACATACAGACACAGATACAGACACACAGAAATACATGCAAAATGTCATAATTTTTTTAGCCTCCCTCCTGTTTCCTACCTTTTGATTGCAGGAGGTTGTTTTCCCCGGGTTGAGTCTGCTGGTTGATGCTGTTGGGAGTCAGAGACTCTCCCTGTCCATGCTCCCCTCCTCTCTATCCTATCTCTCCCGCTGTCACGTATTCATCTGCTTATAGAAATGTGGTTAATGACATTTACTGTCCACACAGGAAAAGTTGTGCCGAGCAGCAACCTAATCCACAGAAGGGTTAATGCTGAGCAGTAATTGTGCAAATGAAACCTGGTGTCATGTATTCATCCGCTTATAGAAAAGTGGTTAATGACATTTACTGTCAACACAGGAAAAGTTGTGCCGAGCAGCAACCTAATCCACAGAAGGGTTAATGCTGAGCAGCAATTATGCAAATGAAACCTGGTAACTGACTTTGGGGTCAAAGGCTGGTTACAGCCTATCAGAACTAAAGGAGGGGTATTTAGGCCCAGTTCTCAGCCTGCTCAGTGCCCTGTCGTGGTTTCCCTTGTGGTTGTCCGAGAGCGTGAGAGTGTTCTACCTGGTTTTTGACTTTGGCTTTGTTTATTGGCTTCTCTATATTCTGGTATCCTGACTCCTGGCTTTCATCATCACTGTGTCCCTTTCTGTGTTCCCTGACCTCGGCTAGTATTTTTGACTATTCTTTGTACGTTAAATCCGGCCATCCTAAGGACCGGTAATACGTTACTTATTTGTCATCCGTGCTGTACAGTTCTATGTGCTGGATAAAACAGTAATCCTGACATTACGACATGGCCATAGATCCTGTAGAACTGTGTCAGCACATAGCTGCTTGCGAGTGGAAATTAGAGGAGAATGATCACCGCATGGATCAATTCACTCAGGCTTTAAGTACGCTTCTCGCTAGAACGGAGCATCTGCAGCCTGCAGCGTCTCCTCCTATAGCACCTCTACCCTGTGTACCTTCACCCACTGTTAATAGGACTCCTAGCATATCCTTATCACCATCCCTACAGTTTGATGGCAATATCCAGGAATGCAGGGGTTTTCTTAATCAGGTGGAGTACCATTTTGAGGCCTCACCAGGGTCATTCCCCACGGACAGAGCAAGAATTGGTTATCTAATGAATCAATTAAAGGGCAAGGCCCTTGCCTGGGCTAATCCGTTGTGGGAGAGTAATCGGAGCATAGCTAATAATTACCAGGAATTCCTTGCTGAATTCAAGCTCACATTTGAGCCATTGGGTAGAGAGGATGACGCCTCCACTGCCCTAATGCACATCAGACAAGGTAACCGGTCTATCTCGGATTATGCTATTGAATTCCGTACCTTAGCTTCCGAGGTAGACTGGACTAACAATGGGTTAATCTCAGCATTCAAAAAGGGTCTCTCAGAGACTATACTAGATGAGATAGCCGCTAAAGAATTACCTAAGAGTCTTAACGAATTTATTACGTTTGTCATGCATATTGATAATAGGTTAAGACTCAGAGAAGTCACCAGAAGCAAGACCAGACGTACGGCTATGTCCCTAGCACCTCAATTCTCTAAACCTGTTTTGTCTAACCTCCCTGTACAGTCCGAACCCGAACCTATGCAGTTGGGGGTCACTAGACTGTCAGAGGCCGAAAAACAGTATAGGAGAAGGGAGGGGTTATGCCTATATTGCGGTAGAAAGGGACATATGATAACTAATTGTCCAGTGCGTCCGGAAAACTTCTGCACCTAAGAACCTTAAGGGGACAGATTTTAGGTGTGATGGAGTTGTCCTCTAACAAAAACAAAAGTAGATTCCTCCTTGAGGTATCTATTTCCCTTGATAACAAGAAGTTTTCTTGCAGTGCCCTAATGGACTCAGGTGCTGCTGGAAATTTTATTGATGTCCAGTTTATTAGGGGTAATGAGATACCGGTCAGGGAGAGACCTACGCCGCTAGCTGTAGAGGCTATTGATGGTAGACCACTCACACAACCGCTTATAACCCACGAAACTGTCCCTATTACGATCTCCATTGGGGCCTCCCATAGGGAGGAGATGACGTTTCAGGTTATTACTTCTCCATCATGTCCTATCATATTAGGGTTTCCGTGGCTGAGTAAGCACAATCCCTATATTGACTGGGCTAATGGGGAGATATTAGAATGGGGTAAAGAGTGTATGGGGAGATGTATAAAACCAGTACTAAAGAGATTGGATACTATTGACCTTCCCACTACCACTCCCCAAACTCCTGGAGTTCCCATACAATACCGAGAACTTCAGGAGGTGTTTAACAAGGCTCAATCCGATGTATTGCCTCCCCACAGAGCATATGACTGTGCCATTAACCTGTTTCCAGGCGCTATGCCACCTAAGGGGGCAGTTTATGCCTTATCTCCCCAGGAGAGTAAAATAATGGAGGAATACATCAAAGAATCCTTGAGCAAAGGGCACATAAGAAAGTCATCCTCACCAGCTGGTGCAGGATTCTTTTTTGTTGAGAAAAAGGGTGGTGAGTTACGCCCTTGCATAGACTACAGGGCACTTAATAAAATCACTGTAAAAAATGCATACCCTATCCCACTCATTTCCGAATTGTTCATAGACTTCAGGGAGCTAAAGTATTTACTAAGCTTGACCTTAGGAGCGCTTACAATTTGGTTAGAATTAAAGAGAATCATGAGTGGAAGACGGCATTTAATACCGTAGTGGACACTATGAATATCTGGTAATGCCATTTGGGTTATGCAACGCCCCGGCCGTATTCCAAGACTTTATAAATGATGTACTC